GAGGTTTCAGATAGAGCTATGTGTTCACTCTCTGAAGGTGAGTAAATATGACAGGATTTTAATTTATAGGTGAACTATTCCTTTAATTTTCTATTTCTTTCTTTTTCATGTCTTTCTCATCACTGCCATCTCGTGGCTGTATAGAGATACTCTAAAAGGGTTGACACCTATCGGCTGACAGCGAAATAGCATCAAAATCAAACAGCATTGTAAAATAAATCAAAACAAGCAGGAGGTAGGCCTATGCACACTAAATCTCTGTGTTCTGCGGTCATCCATAAATTAGGCTTGTATACACATGGAGAGGATTATGAATCATGTCCAGAAAACTAAGCATAGCCTATTTTGACTTGGGATTTAGAATTTTTGGAAAAAAACAAAATGTCGCCACTATTAAACAAGTATTCAAGTACTATGATTTGCCTTCTTGTGAAGCCTTGTCAGTCTTGGATAAATCATGTGGATGGATACATCATTGTCAGAGCAGCCCGTTGCAGCTCACAGAGCCCTGGAAATAACTTGAAAATACACACTTAGAAGCCAGCAGTTGCTTTGACCTTTATAAAAGTGACCTTCCCAGCGCAGTAGAAGGCTTAGAATTTCTGGAACTTAATATGTTCACCTGAAAGCAGCCTCCTGCCATTCTATAAAGTTAGGCTCAAGACAGTTTATCTATGAGTTACTGAATGGACAAATATAGAAAAAAATGTTGACCACTTATCTCTATATATACATTTCTGTTACTGTTTGTCTGAGATTTAGTTTAAATAAATAATATAAATCAGGATAAATACATTTTGTTCATATTTTTCTATAAACTAGGGGGTTTAAAATTCATTTTAGCCTGTAATATAATGACAGAAACTAAATTGAGAATTGAGAAACTAAATTGCAAATCTCCAAAATAGGCTTTCACTAAATTTGTCATTGACATTGGTTCTCTGAAAAAAATCAAATGCTGTCAAAGAAGCTCATGTGGCACTGAACCATATGCATTTGCCAAATCCAGGAATGTCACATGGAGCTCCTTTTTAGCTGCCTGAATTTGTTGCCAGATAACATTGATTTGTTCTAAGCATCTTGAGAAGCCTGGAATGCCCGCTTTTTGAACTGAAGTGTCAATGAAGCCATTCTTCATTAGGTAGGTGGACAATCTCTGGGCAATAATGCTGAAGAAAATCTTACCTTCAACGTTTAATAGCGAAATAGGACGAAACTGACTGATGCCTGTAGCATCTTTTTCTTTAGGTATAAAGACTCCACCTGCTCTGCGCCACGCTCTAGGTACAACCTGTTTTTCCCATGCCACTTTTATCAATTTCCACAGAATTCGCAGAACTCCTGAAGCACCCTTATACACTCTGTACGGAACGCCATTAGGCCTTGGAGATGATGAAGCCCTTGTCTTTCTCACAGCCTGCTCTACCTCTATCCACTTAGGTGCACAGACCTCCATTTGGTATTCTGCTGGGTTAATAGGTGGTATTCTGGTGGAATTGACATAGGCTTATGCCTTTTTGCATCTGTATACGTGTCCTCCAAATATCTATCTAGCTCAACCCTAGATTCTTTTAGAGTGCCATTTTTTTTTCTCACTGAAAGAAGAAAGTAACATAGAAAGTAATAGAAATTAATTAAGTTAGTTGAGAACGTCAGTTATATAACGACCCACGTGTTAAAAACGGTTGGGTTTAAATCGGGCTCAGGCTCATAATTAGAAGACGACATGCACTTTTTACGACATCCACTCACTTTAACCTCCTCGCCCACAGGTTCCGCTGGATAGATTTACTTTTTTCTGAAGGAAATCAATAAAAAACCTACACCTTTTGCTGTATATCTGGTGGCGCAACCCCAAACACAACATTTTTTCGTTATCGTTTCAACTTTGATCAACAACAATGATTTTAACTATGTAACTGTTCAGTTACCGGCTGGATCTCTTCAGTTAGTCAATAGAAAAACTGATTGCAAAACAAATTATTAACCATCTAAACACCACTCCCTATGCTCTCCATCCTATGCAGTTTGGCTTTAGAGCAAAATACTCCACTGAGACTGCGACTTGTTTCTTCACAGAAAATATAAGAGCTCTGTTAGATCAAGGTGGGGTTGTTGGAGCAGTATTTCTGGATCTCAGGAAGACTTTTGACACCGTTAACTATAAAATATTACTGACAAAATATTACTGCACTTAAATGGGTTGAGTCTTATCTCACTGACCGTTCCCAATGTGTCAGAGTTCAGTCATCTAAATCGATGGCCTTAAATCTGTCCACCGGTCTTCCTCTGGGATCTAATCTAGGGCCTCTGTTATTCTCCATTTATATAAATGACCTCCCACTCGCTTGTCCTGATGTTTTTGTGCAGATGTATACTGATGACACCGTAGTTTACGCACACGGTAGGAATATCGCTCAGGTGGTTGAGAAGCTCACTAATTCCATGGATAGTATCACAGCTTGGTTGAAACACTCCTGCCTGCAGCTGAATACATCAAAAACAGTAGCAATGTTTCTTACTAAGTCCCATAAAAACTTCAGTGTCGAGCCAGATATTTTTGTTTCAGGGGAAAAATTGCAGATTGTGTCAGAATACAAATATCTGGGAGTTTTAATTGATTCAAAGTTATCATTCGTCTGTAATAGAATTAAATATAGTCTCAGTAACTTTAGACACATTCGCCATCAAATGTCCACATAGGCAGCAAAAATGTATATGCATTCTATGATTTTCTCACACATCACTTACTGTCTACCCGTTTGGGCACAAGCTAATAGCACATCTTTGAAATCTCTGCAATCACTTTACAAACGAACTGTTAAAACTCTGGATAAGAAACCATGTATTTCTCATCATTGTCCAATATTACAAAAATATAGATTGCTCAGTTGGGATAATATGGTTAAATACTCAAATCTATGTCTTATTTATAAAATTATTCATGGTTTATCTTCCCCTCCCCTCCAACAGTTTGTCAATACCTGAACAGCTGATTACTGCATGACCAGAGGTGCAGCTAGGGGAGATTGTATCATTCCCTTAAGGAAAAGTGTATTTGGTCATACTGCTTTTTCTGTTCAAGCTGCTACTGAGTGGAACCTCATCCCCATAACTATCAGAAATATAAACACGTATAGTTCATTTAAAATTCAGTTAAGGAAATGGCTTATTGATCATCAGATCTGCCAACACTAACCTATTTCTACACATGCTCTTGACGCACACTGTTGACTTTTTTCCTTATGTGTTTATCATGTTTTTTTACGTGATGTTTGTCCGATTGTTGTTTGATGTGTTTAGAGTTATTATTATTATTATTATTATTATTACTAAATGTATTTTAAAATTTATTTATTTTTATTTTTTTTCTCTTTTTTTTTAGTGCTATGTACTATGTAATCTGTTTTCTTTTTTTAGGGTGACTTTTACCAACTGTCTAGGGACTGCAGATGAAAAATAGCCTTTAGGCTAATTCTGGCATATTGACAGATATGTTTATGAATATGCACTGTCCCTGTACTAAATAAATAAATAATAATAATAGAAGCCGCTCGCGTTCTGCCACCCGGAAGTATCGCGGTGCCTATTGTTTACAAACATTCTGAAATGCCCTATACGTGTCCTCCAAATATCTCTCCAGCTCAACCCTAGATTCTTTTAGAGTGCCATTTTTTTTCTCACTGTGGTGAATAACTTCTTTACAAATTTGAATGGGTCAAAAGCTAAGCTACTGTGTTGACATGGTCCTGCCTTGCATCATATTTTTAATCTGAAAGTCTAAGTCATATACATTAGGCTAGTACATCCCAGTACAATGCAATTTAGCGCCATTTCGATGGAAATTTATCAAATAACTCACGATGTATCAAAGCAAGCCTAGTTGTATCCAATTTTTGGATTCTGCTGTCTGTAACCGGTAGGTGTGGTTTGGGAGTGGCCTCGTAAAGGCAACAAAGCAAGTGCATTCTGGGAGTTGTCATCTTTTAGCCTCATGGGTAAAAAATTGGATTAAAATATCCAAAATGCACTAGAACAATATTATATATTTAGTTGATTTGTGTACTTACATTATCCCAAATATTTCTAAGAATGCTAAATCCAGAGAAATAAGCATGTTCGTCACCTATCAATGACATCATACCCGTTACCCTCGATTTCTGTGGATTTTACCATGGAAATACCAAAGACACTTTAAAAAATATGATGTGTTTTATTAGACATGTGAGCAACTGTTTGGCACTTTGGCACAAATTAGTTTAAATGTGGTTATTAGCTTAATAGCATTAAAGTTCAATTTGAACTGAAGTCATATTCCTTGAAGTGTGACACCAATCAGATTTCGGATGAGTGTTAAGAGGTCATATTATGAAATACCATAAAACAACCATAAGATAGTGTTCAGTAAAATGACAAATCATTTCTTATCACTGTATAAATGAAACAAATCTAGCAGACACGATACTTGCATACAGGCTCCATTTCAGTTTTTCTTAGATATTTCACACTATAGTGTAAATACACTCTGCTGCAGACCGGAGGGAACTTGTGGTTCAGGCAACACAGAAAAAGACAAATATGAGTAGGCTAACCAACCAGCTTCCTCTCAGTGGTCAAAATCAATGCAGAGTGCTGTGGTTTTTGGTCATACCCTAGTTTTGATTCAGATGAGTAAAACATTCAATCAATCCACCATCTGTGAATCCATATATCTATAGTATTAGTATCTATCTATCTGACAGCCTGCATGCTAGGCATGTCTACATACTAACAACCAATCTGTCTATGTGCCTGCATGCCTGCTCATCGATCTGCTGATTTGATTTGTCCATGTCAATTTAAAAAGAAAATGTATCTCGTGTTTGCAACCGTGATGAATGCAGTAGATTAAATGTTCAACAGGGATTTTAAATTAAATATAAAACACATTGGATGTGACACTTGTGGGTTCGCCAAAGAAGAAGAAGAAAACACTTGTGGGTTGGATGTGTGCACGTCATGATCCTCACCATCCTCACACGTGTTGTAATGGGGGATGGAATGTTTTGTGTGTACATAGGCTACATCACAGGCACAGCTACAGAGTGTTTGTTTACCCAGCACATGCACATATTACTCCATTGAGTTCTTCCTGTGGACCTATCCGTGTGTGTAGCTTGACAACGGGAGCTGATGTGCGTTATTTGTCCATGAGGAAAATGTGGATGAGGTCAGAGCGACCTGGGAAGTGAAGTGTATCCGCCGCGCTCGCATCTGTCGCACACTTGATCTGATCACAAAGAAAGAAGAAAGTGCTCGGGAGCTGCTCGCATGTGTGAACACACCGTGGACATACACACACAGACAGGAGGCATGTGCTACTGACTTATCGTTTCTGCATGGCGCAAACGAGTTTATGAAGAAATAACGGCTTCACGGACAGCTGCTGTTTAGGCCTCTCGCTAAACTCCCACTCACTGGACACGCTCTCTCACACACCAGGAGAAATGGGTCTAATTTTCGCTAAACTATGGAGCTTCTTTTGTAATCAAGGTAAGAGGTGTTTGTTCTGACTGGTTTATAACGAGTTGTTTTGGCTGTTGTCCGACCCTGGCAGATATCCAGCGGAACTGAGCTAACGTAATGGTAATGCTAGTGAACTCGTTTAAAAATCCTTTGCGATCGAAATTACTGTCTCTTACTGACACGTTTACTTGTTTATCCTATATTTTAAATCGACCAGATCGTGTTTTTACGTTTGTTGGTCCCTTCTCCCGGTATCTTAAACACATCAGATGATCTGGTTAGTGCGAGGTGAAGGTAACAGATGGGTCATATCTAAATGTCTCCTAAATGATCTCCACATAAACTGGGTATTATCCACTTGTTGAAGCGATAACGTGCTTTCTGAAGACTAACGTTATGTTGTTGTAAGACACGTAAATCTTAAACTATAATGCCCACCCCCTCACACCCCCAAATTTGTTTTCATTTTGTTTACTTGGAGTTAAGGTTTCTACAGATACTCCTTTTGTCACTCCATCAAAACTTAGCGAAAGTAATAAAGTTACTGAAGTTGAGATGGTGCAGTGCCTGAGGAAAATACTTGGCCTTTGAAAGAAATCTGAATAGACACGAATACTGCAATATATTAAACACTTAAATGTGTATTTTGTGTGTTTTCTTTCCTCGAGTCTAGTCTGAAGGAAAACATGGTAGCTCAACCTCAATTGACCAGTGCATGAAAAAGCAATGGTTTTGTCTTAGTGGATTTTGCTGCCTACAACTAGCCTGTGATTAAACTTTACTTTTTTTCCCACTGACATATGTTTGTATGTCTTAACTGCTGCTGTGGCAGATGTGTCTCTCGTGATGTAGGTCCAGAGGACAGAGGGGTCAGATATCAGCTCCAACTTATGGAATGACAATAAAAGGAACTGATTTGAATTGAATATGCTTTTGTGTTGAGAAACAGACGCCACAAGCATCTGGCAAACAAAAGCAGCATGAGGAAACCGTTTTCCTCTCCCATTGTTCGCCTGTTTCAGCGGTCAGTTGAGCCTGCCCAGAGAGATCCAGCCTTCAGGACAAACCATGATGGACAAAGTCATGGAAGCTGCAGAGATTTTAACTTGTGTACTAGATTGTTTTCAAGTTACACTTCTAACTTAATTTTTAGTAACCGAATACTATTTACTGGCAATTTTTTTTCAGTTTTGTCCCCTGGCAAACATTCCTAATCACATCCAGATTTCTGTAATGTTGGACAGATGGTCCTTTAACACTGGAATGGACGTTGTTGATTTTGTGTGCACTTTCAATAATTTCAGACACCAATTTATTTGCATTTATAGAAGTTTCTACCTGTTAATTGTTGTTAACATAAGATTTCTTTTGTGTGCTAGATATGTTCCTTACAAATTAACTAGCCAGTAGTCCTGTGGGCTAAATGCTGAGTCTTGCTCTAGGTCCAATTTGAGGTCCCAGGAGAAAGTAGGATAGCTCTTTGGCCTACTTGCTTAGACATAGAAGGAATTCTGTCTGTTGGATTTGTAATCCCATTCTCTTTCCTAATTCCCTGGATTACTGTCCTGAAGAGGACCAGTCATGTCATTAAATTGAGTGTTGTTCTCTCTAATACACAAACATTCCTGCAATCGTAATAAGAATATCGTAACAGCATCATATTATTATTATTAATGTTGCTGTTTGAGCATAAAAAAAGATCTGCTAGGTTACAAAGCTCAAAGTCGACTCTAAAGGGAGATATTTCATTTAACGGAGTCCACTTTCCGAGAGCTACTATAAACGGCTTGTTTGGACACTATTTTAGATGATGACACAATGTTACTCATAATGTTGCTCATTTAAATAATCCCTTCCACGGAATACGCTGAACAGTGGACAAGGCCTGGATTAGCATAGCTGCTATGTCAAAATCCCTATACGCGCGGGATTAGTATTATCTGGGGACTTCGCGTGAATTTGAAATTACCAACCCACATCTGAATTTCGTGTGGCGCATTCGCATGGGATAAAGGAAGTCTGATTTTAATCAAATTTACTGACTTACCTCCCGGATATGATGTCATTTTGCTATTGCTCGGAAATGTGCCCTCCAATGTTAGCGATCCCCCTATCAAAAGCAGAACTGTTTTGGTCTTGTAGTTACTACAATTCTTGTAGTAAATTCCGCTTGTGGCATGGAAAGGAGCCTCGCACTACAAAAAAAATTAAGCCTAAATCTGGTTATCAAAAAAGAAGAGTGGAAAGAAATCTGCATGAGGGTAGACAACTTCTGACTATTTTTTTGGGGGGGAGGAAGAATGGTGAGGCTTGCGAGAGAAAACTGTGTAATTTATTACTTATATTACTTATCCTTCTGCCTCAGTGAAGTAGTCTTGTCAAAAGTGGGCTACTGTACTTTATACAAATTAAATAATTAAATTGTGCAAATGTGACGATACCAGTATTTCTGTGCGGTTTTACTGAGTAGGCCTACTGAGACTTAATTTGATACACGCAGATAGACGGTTGTGTTCAATCGGTCCACGTTTAAAAGCGTTCTTGTTTCCAGTGCTGAGAACTCTAGCCAATCACGGAGAAGTCTTTTGAGCATATGAGTGTAGTGACAAATCAGAATTCCCATCTTAGCAAAATTGAAAAATATTTGAATGCTACATTTTAATGCATTTTAATTAGTGATCGACCGATATATCGGCCGGCCGATATATCGGGCCGATATTTGAGGTTTTTACGTGTATCGGAATCGGCCGATACACCGCTGCGCGTTCGCCGATAGTTTTTTTTTCCCCGCCGTTATTTATAGACAGGCGGCCACGGGCAGCTCCGTGCTGCTGGAGATGCTGCAGTTCACGTGCCCCGCCCTCCTCCACTAGCAGAGTGCAACCTGCTCTTCACGAGATAAACTTTCAAAGGATCTTTTAAATGTTTGACTCCTGAAATATTGTCAAACACTTTGAAAATGGAAAAACGTCGCCCTATAACTGTTATGTGCTTGCAACTAAGCAAGTTTGTGGGTCCAAATGGAAAACGCGAATGCCTCGTCTATAAAACTTAACTGCTTGCCATTGTATTAAGAAGCTGCAAATAGTTAAGGTGTAGGTTATCCGTTCAGTATGCATTAGGACTGTCTATGAATATTCTACATTCGAATATCTATTAATTTTGAAGGTGAAAATTAATATTTGAATGTGGAAAAACACGCCCGCGGTTGCAGACTAATAACGTTACCACGGCTGCACAGCTCGCTCGGAGCGCTCACTGTCGGTTCTATACTGTGAAACTTCAATCACTGAATGAACTGAAGCCTGCTATATTTGGGACAAGAGTCGCGACTCGCAACCTTAAATTGCTTGCACAAAACTCTTGTTTAGCACTCAACATTTGTTTGTTGTTCATTTAACCGACGCGCAGAGACCGTGAGGGCGAGAGAGAGAGAGAGAGAGTGCCTGAGCGAGTCCAGGGCGAGACAGAGTGAGCTCTGCGGTCTTGGCCATTAGTTGATTTACTTGCTTTTTAATACGTTGTCAAATATGTTTAAACTCAAATAAACCATCTAATACTAGTAGTTATGTCTCTTTTTATTAATGTGTCCTGTTATTGATGTAATGCGCGTCAACAACAAAACGCGCAACGGGATGTTCGAATATGTTTTTTAGAGGGAATATGCAAACGCCATTTGAGCAATTTTGACAGTATGCATACGGTAACGAACTCTGGTCATAGGATTAAGGAATGCCAACGTTATTCTGTGCTTTTTGTGGGAGATTTATTCAGCGCTCACCTGGCTGAGGTTTGGGGCGTGTGGTGTGTGTCTCCCTCGCAATCGCAGTAGGCTAATATTAGAGACTAGACATGCTCATTTTATTTTATGTAGGAAAATTGAAACCATGCAGTACATAGTTCGTTTCTTTTAAAATGAATTACAGTGTGCACTGTGCACTTTATTATGCTGGTTGCTACTCTGTGCAATAGTGTAATTATTTAATTTATGCTTAAATATTCATTTTCAGCACTGAACTTTTTTTGTTCTACTTCATGTTTTTCATATTTTTTAAATTGTTTATCTACTTGTTCTTGTTCTACCTCACATGTTTTTACTATTTGTTAAATATTATTTTTTGAAGTTAGTTAAATGTTACTTTTATTAAATTGAGACCTGTAACATTTGTTAACATCATGTTATTTTTAAGATGTAAATTGAGGGAGCAAAATGTATCGGCTCCAAATATCGGCTCAAGAAAATCGGCAGCCCGTATCGGTCATCGGCTAAGGCTGATGGGAAAAAAATCGGTATCGGTATCGGCACTAAAAAATCCATATCGGTCGATCCCTAATTTTAATGCAATACAACCTAAAGCATTATTAGGAACACCATAATACTGTATTTTAACCCCTTTCTGCCTTAATTCTACATGGCATTGATTCAACAAGGTGCTGAAAGAATTCTTTAGAAATGTTGGCCCATATTGATAGGATAGCATCTTCCAGTTGATGGAGATTTGTGGGATGCACATCCAGTGCACAAAGCTCCTGTTCCACCACATCCCAAATACGCTCTATTGGGTTGAGATCTGGTGACTGTGGGGCCATTTTAGTACAGTGAACTCATTGTCATTTGAAATGATTCGAGCTTTGTGACATGGTGCATTATGCTGCTGGAAGTAGCCATCAGAGGATGGGTACATGACGGCCATAAAGGGATGCACTCCATGAGGTCAGAAACTATGCTCATGTAGGCCGTGGCATCTAAACGATGCATAATTGACACTGACACTAATACCCCTTTTCCACCCAAAAAGAACTGGTTTGGAACTGGTGCTGGTTCAAGTTGGTTCGGAGTTGGTTCAACTTGTGAACCCGTTCAGAACCTGTTTTTTTTCCACTGACTAGAGCGCCCAGGGAATGACGTTGTTGCGTCACTGTGTACGTCGCTAGAAACGCTTGCAAGTACATTGCCTTGAGATTATCTCCAACTCGTGTACCAAGAAGGCTTTAAAAAATATGTAAGTCTACATATTGAAATATGTAAGTCTTTTAATCTTTTCGTTTGATAAGTAATCTTTTCTGATGCACCCCTTGCGTCTTTTTTCTTTCCATTTATTTGTTCTATATCGTGACTGTTTTCTTTTTTTTGCTTATGTTTCAAAATAAATTAATAAATAAAAACGATTGCGCCAACTTCAAGCATACCAATTACAAAGGCGGACTCCATCGTGTTTTTGCAAATGTTTCTCCTGGCTTTGCGATGGTCCGAAAAGATGTTTAGAACACATCTAAACCCGCCCCATCCCCAGATGTCAGCATGACATGGTAAAAGAATGGCTCTAGTCCAGCAAAGAGTTGGTGCCGCTTTGGAACCAATTTTCCCGGCCGAGAACCGGGTCTTTGGCTGTCGAAACACAAAGAACTGGTTTGCGTGCAGGCACCGGCTCCAAACCAGTTCTCAAAATGCTTTGGTGGAAAAGGGGCTTAAGGGGCCTAAAGTGTGCCAAGAAAACATCCCCCACACCATCACTACACCACCACCACCAGCCTGCACAGTGGTAACAAGGCATGATGGATCCATGTTCTGTTTTCGCCAAATTCTGACTCTACCATCTGAATGTCTGAACAGAAATCGAGACTTATCAGGCCAGGCAACATTTTTCCACTCGTTAACTGTCCAGCTTGAATCAGTTTGAATCAGTCGGCCCATTCTCCTCTGACCTCTAGCATCAACAAGGCCTTTTCACGCACAGTACTGCTGCATACTGGATGTTTTTCCCTTTTCACACCATTCTTTGTAAACCCTAGAAACGGTTGTGCGTGAAAATCCCAGTAACTGTAAATTAACCACGTTTTTGTGATCAATTACCATATTTTTCCAACAAATATCATGATTAAATGGTAGATAACATTGTACCTATAATTTGCAAGAAAAACATACCACTCTTATACGCCCTGTGAAATCTGTTCTTGCAAAGTCTGTGCATGAAATCCATTCTGGATGCTGGACTTGTTTGCTAAAGAGGGGTGTGGCGGTTTTAGAATTGGTGATGACGGTTATGACGTGAGTCAAATGTGACTGCAAACTCCGTGCTGGTGGGTACGGTGAGACATGCTCAGGCAGATTCGGCTTTTCGTGCATACTCGCATGCGGCATAGCGTGCGCTGTTACAAAAAAGCTGTGCACACAGCCAAGCGGAATGGGATCTTGCCGGTCTTGTTCACCCAATGCCTCATTTTTTGCCACGCACACCTTCATGCTCAGGGGGACGCGTCGAGTATAAACAAGGCTTTACTCTGTCAGCGCGTGCACAGACATCTCTCGAATCTTCACCAGCAATAGCAGCCTCAGAAACACCTCTATACTCTATTCTCCTATATCTTCCTCTGTTTCCCTCATATTCTGATATTAGTATTTAGACATTCTCTATGATAGAAAATGTTTGTAAAATATATTTTAATAGCACAGTTTTGGCAGTTATAGAGTTCTAATGAATCTGGTGTTCAACTATAAATGTCGGTCTCACGGTTATAACCTTCACACCCCTAGTTTAAAGGGTAACCAAACCCCAAACCAACTTTTTTACTTAATGATCTGTAAGAAAGTGGCTTTATTGGTGCTGATCATTGATTGGAGTAACTTTTTTGACATTTGGTTATAAAGTATTTTAATTCTACAATATATGGTGTAAAAAACGTCTGTGTTCTGCCCTCTTCAGTTTGAATGGTGGCTATTGCCGTTGAATTTTCCTAATGGATGTTTGCAGTGCTTCGTGACGTAAGTGTTGAGAGCTGACGTAAGCAGGTTCCAGCTCACCACTCCCTTGTTGTTGAGTTGGAATTACGAGTATTGAAAACGATCAGGATAGACTATTTTAGCATCAATTTAGCATAGCATTTATATAGTAATTTAGATTATTTTGTGTAGCCTAGTTAGTTAGTTAGTTAGTAGCATAGTACAGTTAGGATTGCTTCAAATTAGCATAGATTTATCTGTATTTAATACAGTGGTCAGGATGGTAACGGAATAGAGGTGGACATCGGCTTCTCCACACAGCTCACGCTGTAGAGCGCCAAACACTGCTTGTCCTGCATGGACTGCACCACCACAGCGGTGTCTTGATATGAGTTATTATGTATATTTTAATCACAATTTATGGTTAGGCTAAAGTTAATCCTCTGGGGTCAACAAACGCCCCTGCGCATTTTGCTGGATTTTTTCACATAGCGGCAAAATATCAATATGAATGCCTAGAGAGCGTGCACCATTGACATTAACTCGACTAAACTCCTCAGATACCGATCGCGATGCGGGAGTTAAGACCGCAGTTTTAGCCAGCGGCTAGAATTGATATGGCCCTGTTTCCATAGACAATTTACCCTCCTCCACTTCAGGTGAAGGTGGGGGAGAAAAGCCTTCTACTTCAATTGACCGCTCTATTGCAAAGCTATGTGCGTCACTCCAGTCACTCTCCATTTTAGAGTCTGACAGCAGCTTTCATTTCCGGAACACGTGCTAAGCGCCCACACACTGGGCCAGCTAACCAATCACAGCACATTTTGTATTTCGGAAGGAGGGACTTAATCGAAACCAGATCTAAACAACACGTTTGGGACTGACTGGGGAGAAAGGAGCTGTTGTGTTTTTGAACAAGCATGATTCTAGTACACCCCAAAAAACAAAATCAAGACTTCGTAAAAGGGCATAATAGGACCCCTTTAAATAAATTAGGAGCTATTGCTCTTGTAAATCATTAACCACTCACTCATTATCCTTTGGCTAAAGCATAGAGCAGTAGCACTAGTAGTCTTACATTAGAATCAGGCTAAATTTGTCCTTGAGTTTGTTATGAAAAGTTCCTCCAAAACCCGTGGGAAGTGTTCCGCAGTCTTAAACAGTCTCTCTTCATGGCTTTAGTTTGCCCCTATGAATTTTTTGCTGGAGACATACAGAAGTGAAATAGGGGTCAGTGCTTCTGGAGGAAGTAATAGGCGTGAAATAGTCTTTGTGGAGCAGCCAAAGATATCATGAGTTATCCTGTCCTGCTTCCTGTAGTTCACATCTGAGTTTAAAGGTGGAAAATATCGAAATGTGCCCTCTCTTTCAGAGACACACACATACACAGACAGAGGCTGCAGGCTGTCAGAATTTCCTCACATTGAGCTTCGATAAAGGATGGATCACTGGTTTATCTAATCACGTTTTCCTGTTATGCCATTGTGCTTCCCATGTGGCTGAGTTGTGTGTTTGTATGGGATTGCTGGACCAATTATCTGGGAGTTAGAACAGAGAGAACGACAGAAACAAACAAGCTCTGAAGGAAAGAACACTGTTATGTAATGAACCAATTTAATAATGGATTACATTATATTTTACATTTTGTGGCATTTCACATATTTGCTTATTCTTATTCATTGAGATTAATTTGAATTTTAAATAAAGTTCTTGTAATATTAATTTGACCATTCTTTTAATCCGTAATATATATTGTTTTCTCTGTTATGCAGAACACAAGGTGATTATTGTGGGGCTGGACAATGCTGGAAAGACCACTATACTTTATCAATTGTGAGTAATAGATATTTTATTTACTTGATTAGGATCTTTATTTATATTAGTAGTCTCTAATTCATTGAATAATAGAATAGAGTCTTTATTGCCACACGCCTGGGCCAGCCAAAATTGTTACGGTGAGAATGGACATTCAATATACACTAAACATGGCAATTTATTCAACATACAATGTGCAGTATTGAGTAAAACAATAGATTGAGATACTGTATGGAAAGTTTCCAATGTGGTAATTAATGTGAAGTATACAAACTGCTCTACGGCTTGTTTTATCTGAACCTGTTTTGTTATGCAGTTTAATGAATGAGGTGGTGCACACGTCTCCTACGATTGGCAGCAATGTGGAAGAAATAGTGGTGAAGAAAACCCACTTCCTGATGTGGGATATCGGTGGTCAGGAGAGTCTCCGTTCCTCTTGGAACACATACTACTCCAACACTGAGGTAATGCACTTATACACTACACTGCTGGAAGCTGAACCCCTTTGATAAGGGATGATCTAACAGAATTGAAAACTTCACACGAGAGGGGATTAGATTACATAATTGATTTTTTTTTAAAGGGTTGGTAGATAAAATTTACGTGTTTATGTCCCATGAGTGATGTACTGGCTGTCTGATTGGTGCTGCTCTCAAGTCACCTTTATTTATAGAGCGTTTTATGCAATACAGAATGTTTCAAAGTATCTTGACATATTGGCTGTTGTTCTGCTGAAGTCAGTTCTGTGTTGTTGAATTGTAAATGGGAACAAATATGTAGGTCTCTCTCTATGATGAGCAGAATGAGGATGAATTTCATGTGTCCTGTTTTAGGCCTGTTTTTGTATTCACAGAGACCTCATTGAGTAGACAGGAAATCATTGGCAGAGAAAGATGTATTGGCTTGGGAACATGACGCGTGAATTGCATCTCTTCTTAAAGAAGTTTCTCATACTTTAGGAGGCTGCATTTATTTTATGTGTATACAAAAATGTGTTAATATATATTTTTAAATGTAATCTATTCTTGTGATTGAAAAACATCATTACACCATTCTTCAGTGTTACATGATCCTTTGCTGCTCAAGAAATATTTATTATTATTAACCGTGTTGTGCTGCTGAATATTTTTGTGGTGACGGTGATCATTCTATTTCAGGATTCTTTGATGAAAAGAAAGTTTCAAAAGTCTTGAAATGGAAGTATTTTGCAATTGCAACATATAAATGTATTTACTGTACAGGCTTTTGAATTGAATGTGTTCTTGCCGAATAAAATAATTTCTTTTTTTTTAAATATGTAAGAATGTACACTCACCTAAAGGATTATTAGGAATTATTATTTCTCATTAATGCAATTATCTAATCAACCAATCACATGGCATACTTCAATGCATTTAGAGGATGTGGTTCTGGTCAAGACAATCTCCTGAACTCCAAACTGAATGTCAGAATGGGAAACAAAGGTCATTTAAGCAATTTTGAGCGTGTCATGGTTGTTGGAGCCAGACGGACCAGTCTCAGTATTTCACAATCTGCTCAGTTACTGGGATTTTCACACACAACCATTTCTAGGGTTTACAAAGAATGGTGTGAAAAGGGAAAAACATCCAGAATGCAGCAGTACTGTGGGTGAAAATGCCTTGTTGGTCAGAGGAGAATGGGCCGACTGATTCAAGCTGATAGAAGAGCAACTTTGACTGAAGTAACCACTCGTTACAACCGAGATATGCAGCAAAGCATTTGTGAAGCCACAACACGCACAACATTGAGGCGGATGGGCTACAACAGCGGAAGACCCCACCGGGTACCACTCATCTCCACTACAAATAGGAAAAAGAGGCGACAATTTGCAGTAGCTCACCAAAATTGGACAGTAAAAGAGTGGAAAAATGTTGCCTGGTCTGTTGAGTCTCGATTTCTGTTGAGACATTCAGATGGTAGAGTCAGAATTTGGTGTAAACAGAATGAGAACATGGAGCAATCATGCCTTGTTACCACTGTACAGGCTAGTGGTGGTGGTGTAGGGATGGTGTGGGGGATGTTTTCTTGGCACACTTTAGGCCCCTTAGTGCCAACTGGGCATCGTTTAAATGCCACGGCCTACCTGAGCATTGTTTCTGACCATGTTCATCCCTTTATGGCCACCATGAACCCATCCTCTGATGGCTACTTCCAGCAGGATAATGTACCATGTCACAAAGTTCGAATTATTTAAAATTAGTTTCTTGAACATGACAATGAGATCACTGTACTAAAATGGCCCCCACAGTCACCAGATCTCAACCCAATAGAGCATCTTTGGGATGTGGTGGAACAGGAGCTTCGTGCCCACAAATCTCCATCAACTGCAAGATGCTATCCTATCAATATGGGCCAACATTTCTAAAGAATGCTTTCAGCACCTTGTTGAATCAATGCCACATAGAATTAAGGCAGTTCTGAAGGCGAAAGGGGGTCAAACATAGTATTAGTATGGTGTTCCTAATAATGCTTTAGGTGAGTGTATGTGATTTAACAATATCAGGTCCTGCTACTCCCTATTTCTTTGTACAAACCTACTCTATTGGAAAAGACAGCGGAAACATTTTATGAACTAACAATTAACTAATTTTACATTTATTAATTGAGGTAAATGTTCATTTTTAAATATAACTTTACTTCATGTGTGTTTATAATATATTTGCTTATGTTAATTTATACAACCTGAAGTGTCAGAAAGATATTGGTAATATGTAACAATTCAAGTTTAAAAGAAGCATTACATGTTTTGTCCAATGTTATTTTATGCAGTCTTAACTTATAGAACTTTTCATTTAAAAGGATAGTTTACCCAAAAATGAAAATTGTGTAATTTACTCACCCTCAATTTGTTCCAAACCTCTATGAATTCATTTCTTCTGCTGAACACAAAAGATGATATTTGGAAGGATATGGGTAATCATTAAATTAATCAAACATTTTGGATCCCATTGACTTTCAGTGGAACTCATTTGGGCAAATCAAATATTTACTGACATTCAGCAAAATATCTTCTTTTGTGTTCAGCAGAAGAAGGAAATTCACACAGGTTTGGCACAACTTGAGGGTGAGTAAATTACACAATTTTCATTTTTGGGTAAACTATCCTTCTAAGTGTTCCCACTTTTATTTTAAATATCAAAAAACCACTTTTGACTAGAATGTGCTCATACAGATACATCTTCAAATGGGTATTTTTAGTACCAGTATCTAAACAAACTAATAGCATATTTAAAGATAACATGGTGAGATGAACAGCTGTGGGTCCAGTCTGCTGTGAACAATAGTTTGAACAACAGTTGTGCGCGGCGGTAATTCCGCCAGATCTTAGCAGCTGGTGTCTGATTCAGAGTTCAAAGTTCAGGGTTACACAAAGAGGTTTGAATAGTGAGACCCCTGCCTTTCATTCAGAAAGTGTGCGAATAAAATTTGTGGTGGGGCCCTGCTGTCAAGCGAGCACTCGCTCTTACAGACCATAGATACACCATTTCTGCCAAGGGCATACGCTGAGCAACAAACAACTCTGTGGCCTTGCTGAACTTGGAAACCACCTCTGAATGCTGAAGTGCAACAGTATGCTGCCTGACATCTGATGATAATGGTGTGTGTGTGTTTTCTTTGGTAGTTCATCATACTGGTAGTGGACAGTACTGACAGAGAGAGACTAGCCATTTCTAAAGAAGAGCTCTACAGAATGCTAGCACACGAGGTAATGCTTTAACATTTACGCCACACACATAAAGCTCTGGAGGATGAATATAAAGCTTCACTCTCGCAAAATGTTGATTCTGTTCATTCATTTAGGATCTCCGCAAAGCTGCAGTGTTGATCTTTGCTAATAAGCAAGACATGAAGGGCTGTATGTCTGCAGCAGAGATTTCCAAATATCTGACCCTCAGCTCCATCAAGGATCATCCCTGGCACATTCAGTCCTGCTGTGCGCTCACTGGAGAAGGGTAAGACCTGCAGTACCTCTGAACATGAACTATTCTAGCCTGCAGTTATTGCTTGCCGTAGGGGATTAATGATTTCAAAATGTAATAATACAATAAAACACAGCAAGTTCAAATTGAAATACTGTTTTACCCATAAAGAAAAATCTTCAAAAGGATGCACACTTCATGGAGATCATAGCAGATCATACACATTTTCTCATTTGCCGTCTCCATCAAATTTGTTCATGCTCGTTTTCTCTGTTTTGACATTTAGATTAGCTTTGCTATCATCTAATTATTTCTTAACGTTAATCATTTTAAACATAATTTAACAACTATGTAAATATAAAAACGAATATCCATTTTTCATTCACTAATTCTGTGACGCTTGATCACTTGAAACTAGGCATGTGACCGTATGAAATTTTCATGCTGCAATAATTGCTAAAGCTTTTATCACAATATTGAAATAAGTTGCAGTAAAAGAAGTATCACTATAACAGATTTAATAACTCTTTTTCCTTGTAACTAAAAGAACTAAACATTTTTGTGTATTGCTTTATTGTATTAAATGTTCAAAATCAACAAATGTTTCAAACAAATTAAAGTGCAAAAGAATTATAAAGAACAATAGGTATTATTTTACAATAAGGTCTAATTAGTATAAATGCATCAACTAACATTAAAAATGAGCAGTAGCTGGATTTGTTACAGAAGTATTTATTCTTTGTTTGTTAAAAAAAATACAACTGTTATTTTGTTAGCTAAGGTCCATTAAATAATATCTTTAAGATTTTTTTTTATATATATACAACTTTTGACTTATTTTGAGATTAATATATATAATATAAATATAAAGTGACTGAACAATAACGAATCGAAACACATATCGGAACAACATCTAGGGCATGTTGTAGTCCAGAATAAAATATAAAAATGTTTTAATTTGAAAATGAATAGCCTAAAATCTTTAAATATTCGGTTCTGCGATGAACACTTATCAATAATCTGAATGGCTGTTTGAAACATTTAAATACTGCAGGATTTTTGCTGTTTCATCAGCGCCACCTGCTGTCAGAAAGTGAATGTGTACACGTCTCTGTCACTTCCGCCATGCGCTGCTCATGCGTGTCCGCACACGCCTCTTTGACACTGCATACAGCCTGTTGCGCATTTTAAACGGTTGATGGGTCAAGTATTTTTAAAATGCAGAATTTTCTTATTAGTGCATCCCTATTTAACACTTTGTTTGTGTGTGTTTCAGGCTGTGTCAGGGTTTAGAGTGGATGACCTCCAGGGCTGGGCTCAGATAGCCTCTGATTCTCCATGTCCTTATTGACTATGATTTCCACCTCCTTCGGTGGCATCGCAGATTCATCCTATTGGCTGCTTATGTTTTATTTTAAATCTCTCAAATCTCAGAATTTACATTTTGCAGCTGAACTCTTTGGACAACTACCTCAGCTGGGATTTAATGGTTATGTGAATCTGGTTCGACAGACTTGTCGATCAGTAATGTATCAGGAGCATCTGGAGTTTTTTACTGGGTGTATAGCAGAAGATATTCAAAGTATTTCAACTTAAACACTGCAGTGCTGGTATGTGTTTGTGGGGACGGACCTTGTATTTTTAGCACTCTGGCAGTGGAAAAGAAGTTCTTTGGATGGGTTTATTAAGCTAATTATGTATGTTTTTTCTTTAAATTAATGGAAAGAAATTATTTGAATGGTCAAAATGTTACTTTTAAGGTGGGGACATTTTTGGGTCAGTTGTTGTCATTGGTCAACGGTTTGATTTGGTTAAACTTTGGGTATCGAGTGTTTTAAGTGCCATTGGTACCTACCCACCATCACCACTACATATCATGAAAACAACTGAGCATATCATATAATATTTCACATTACCTCAAACATTCTTTACAGTAGAAGGTGCTGTTACTATTTCAAAAGTGACCATTGCAGCTTGAAATGGCATTTGAGATGCAATTTAAAGGTCACCAGGTTTGATCTCCGCTGTTATAGATGACTTATAGCTTTATTAAAAAATGTTGTTGATGTGGCACATTAGATGGATTTATTGTAATGCTTGTTACAGGTGTGTGTGTGTGCGCGCGTTTTGAATGTGAGAATGTCCAACCAACATCACTGCAGGTGAACTAGCATGTTTTTGTGTGTGTTTGTTTTAAGTAGCCATGATCCTCGCTCGAGTGTGGTTATAGCATAAAGGTCATTCAGTTATCATAAGGAAATAATGTTCAAAAGTAACTCATAAGTATTATGATTTTCTTTTCATCCAAATTCTGTTGGTGCAAAAATGGAACCTGCTGATGATCTTCATAGGTCATAGCCATTATAAGTTGTCTGTTGCTGTATACATGATCGCTGTTTTATTCATATTTGTTCAGCTCCAGACATTTCATACTATTTTTTTTTTGTCATCTTCGCTGTTTGTATGGAACATGAGCTCTAGTGCTTATTTTTCACATGTTGATTTTGTCAATGTGCTTTTTAATTCAAGCTGAAACTGTTGTGTGTTTTCACATTTTTCCATCCTCTCCGAGCGCTGCGTTCGAACTTCGATTAAGAGAAGCTTTTGTAAGACAATGATGCAGTGACTACAAATTGGTGCTCTCACTGACATTTCCCTGCCAGCAGTGAAATCATTTTACATAATTATTATTGGCTGCTGAGCTAGGCAAATCAGTCCCATTGATCTGTCTGTCTGTCTGTTTTGCAGGGGTTTTATATGGTGGTTTTTTGAGGTCATTACCTGACCGGTGTGGATGTGCTGTTTATTGTCATACCACAATAAAACATTCATGGAGTCTTCTCTGATGGAATAAAAAATGAATTTGGCTGTTGTTACTTGGCATAAAAGGCTTCATTGGTCATGAAATATCATTTTTTTCCTCAGTCTGAAGCTGTATGTGTTAGTGAATGCATCATTACAAACCTGATACGAGTATGTTGTATACTACCATGTTGAAACAGAGGTCTTTGGACAAGACTATTGGAAAAGTTGAAGATTCTGTTTCAATGCTGATGTTCGGTCAAACCATTCGGTTCTCAGATGTGCCATTTCTAAATGAGAAGGTGAAATCTGTAGCAACTTTCCTTATTCTTATAATTTTATAATAAAAGCTTTTATTTTGAAATCTGAATTGTTATTGTTGCATTATTGGGTTATGCATGAATGTAAAAAAGATGAGTGTACAATTTTGTGAGCTATACAAAGCCATTTCTTTTAAATTTTGTATTTTCAGTTTATTAGAAGAAAAAGCAGCTGCAGCAACCTTGGGTTAGTCTTGTGTATCCATTTGGAAATTAAAAGTTTCTTCATAGTTGATGATCAGAAATGCTTTCAACTGTGAAAGGAACTGATTCTGATGTAAATTATCCATATGTTGAGGCAAAAAAACAACATGATAAAGGGGCGGGGGCACTTTAATGAGCAAAATCAATTATTAATGTATCAATTATTATTAATGTAATCAATTATTAATGATGTAAATATTATAATTACAATTTTATAATGGGGGGCCATAGTCTTTCATTTATAGAAGTGTAAGAGACAGGAATGTTGGTCTGACCCAGGTCGTACTTGAAACCATCTGCTCTTATGTTGAATATTTATTTTTAATTCAGTGCCCATGAAGCTTCAAAGCTAGAGTTCCCCATTAGCTCAAGTATGCCTGTTTGTTTTTATTATAAAGTATTTTATTATAATGTTGATTTGTGGCTTCAACTTTGTAGTTATTTTATTGGCCATGTTCATTATAATTGTCCTACATCCCTATGTTTTGTTACTCTTTAAAAAGAAGTAACTTGTTCTCCAATTAAGTGTACCCGTAGTTCTCAACCTGGTGGGTGAACATTCTCGTTCAGTAAAACACATTCCGTGTTGGAAAACGGTAAACAGGCAGAACTACAAAACAGTAGCAAAACTGCAAAACAATCGCATTATTTTGAATAAGTAGCTAATTATTTCATCCCCTCTAAAAAAATATGTTCTATATAGAATGAATGTGTTTATTGTAATCTGGACATACTATTCATCATGTTGCCCATGTTACCAGAGGTAAGAGGTAAAAGAGGTAAAAACGATATAAATACTGTTCGTTTTCTCACACAAACTGCTCGTTTTGTGTTTTAGGCCATCAATGTGTGCTTACATTTGCGAGTCATTAAATCATGTTTAATTTTGACTTCTCTGTGCATGCTCTTTGAGGTGGTGACCATAGACCTTCATTATATGACTGATAGACACGAACGGTTTGAAAATGGAGAATACTGTGGAAACAAAGACGCATACATCTTGGATGCCCATGAGGTAGGCTAAAACAAATCAAAAATTAATTTCAAAGTAAACTAAGTCCCTTTAAAGCTGTAGTTTGCAGTTTTTCCTCTTTGTCGCCATCTCTGATCGAAATCTGCAATCGCAGTCATTCGCGGGATTATCAACTTTACGTGGGTTGTGACTCGGTCCGGCACAGCGCGGATGAACACTATGTTTGAGGAGAGTGTGAAGCTGTCAGTCACCACGCCGGTGTCCATGCTGGCATATAGAATCTGAGATTATTCTTTTTGCCGAAATAATACATATAGTTGAAATTATTGTTAATATTTCAGGCAGATACCTCGTATCTCCATATTTCATCATGGATTGATGTCACTTTCCCGTCGGATACAGTAAAAAAGAGAAAAGAAATGCTCAAACCTCATAACTCCACCCGCCTTTATTGTGATGCAACATGACAACATGACTTTTGCGTAAACAGACACGCTACTTTCAAGTCAAATGGGGTGTTATCTATACCCATTTTGAGCTATCCGCGTGTATGTCTACGCCGTTAAATGTCTGAGGGATTGCGCGTGTATGTAGGCCTACATGCCGAGCGAAACGAAGCAAAATGTAGATCTACATCTGGGGAGCGATATTTTTTTTCCTAGGATGGTAGGGAAGACTCATAAATGGTATTAACCCCACTGACGGGTAGGTTTAGGGGCAGGGTTGGGGTAGGTCATATATTTATACTGTAATGTAACTTTAAGTCAAAGGTTATGCGTGTTGATAGCACGCCAAAAAATGGAAATATATTAAAATAACATAGAAAAGTGTCTTAGTCTGGCATTTGTTGTCGAGTCATACCTAGTTCTGTCTTAAATAGATTCTTCATCATCTTCATCTTCAAACACTTCATCTTTTATAACATGAGATTTTGGTCAAATAAAAACGAAAAAAACTGAAGGGTCTAAAAATGTCTTAAAATTGCAGGTCAAAAGTTTTGAAACTTTTCTTATGTTTTTTAAAGAAGTCTCACGTTCATCAAGCATGCATTTATTTGATCAAAAATACTAAAAACATAGTGATATTGTGAAATTACAATTTAAGATGATAGTTTTCTATTTTAATATTGGCTACATTACAGTCTTCATTGTCACATGATCTTTCAGGAATTATGCCAATTTATTATCAATGTTGGAAACAGTTGTGCTAATGTTTTTTTGGAACCTACGATACTTTTTTTCGGATTCTTTGATGAATAAAAAGTTTAAATCTACATGTACACTTCCGTTCAAAAGTATCACTATATTAGCATGATTTCTGAAGTATGTGACACTGAAGACTGGAGTGCCTGATGAAAATTCAAATATAATAAGTATATTAAAATAAAAACATTGTTTTAAATTGTAATCATATTTCACAGTAGTACTGTTTTTTTTCTGTATTTTTTTTTTTAAATCAAAAACATTTTTGGCTTAATGAGCATAAGAGACTGCTTTCAAAAACAGTAAATTGATTAATGTTTCCAAACTTTTGACCGGTGCCATGTCACAATATGAGGTAAATCTGGTGTTGTGCCGAATTATGTCCACTGCTAGATTATCACTGTATGACTGTGTCAGATGATTAAAGAAGATGATGCATCTTGCCAACATTCTCAAATGTGTCACTGAAATGACAGAAATTGCAATTGCACATTCTATCCACTAGGGTGTGGCATTGTCAAGTAAATGGTTCCCACAAACTGCGTTCAGAACGCTTCAGAATAAGTTTCAGTACAGGTCATTTTACAATTTGCTTGTGTGTGGATGTTGAGATTTGGTTAACTGTAATAGTCCAATACTGCTTCAATCTTTTATACGGTGCAACTTAGAAATAAGCGTAGAAATGTCTTATTTGATCTCTTTAAGCAGTATTTTATTTTAGTTTAAATGTTTTTTGTCTGTCGTTTTTCCTCTGTCTAAAGCATGTTCATAGGCTATAGATGGAGCATGTGCAACTTCTAAATGATTTCAGAGAATACAAATCTTGTGTACAGTCAGACAATATTGTAGTTTAGTCATAGATAAACCACAGAGATGTAATTTTCTAACATCCATTTTGTGCTTCACCAGCCTGCTTATTTTGTATTTTGGAGTTGAATGTTATTACGTTTCTCTGGTGCATAAGGTCTATATAGCCTAATCATTTGAAGATAATGCACAGTTACTTAGCCAACTGATTTAATGGCTTACATCTATTTGTCTGATGCTTTGGTCACAGGAGACTGGGTGATTAGGAAACATGGACACAAAATCCCAGTCACTGAAATACTGGTATGGAAAAATAACTTTTTTCCCTCTATAACCTAACACCAGCCATATTAAAGGAATCATGAACTGCATTAAAAAATGTTTCCTAATGTGCATTAATAATGTTAGTATGATTTTTACATCAAGAATTGTCATAATGTAGGAATAATAGGCCACTTTTTACCATGTTTTTAGCCCTCTGATTTGATCGTTCTTGGAAGGGCCGTGTTTTTAACATTATATTTATATCTACCTGTCACATGAAAGTTTGCAATGATGAGAATTGTAGCCAATGACGCATATGTCTGTTGAGGGCATCATTGTAGTAATCTCGTCATTTTGTTCGCTAGGCCTATAAATTAGGTGATGGTCACACAAGACGATTGGCAGATTTGAAGTGTTTACTCTTAAAAGGCAGACTGTGGACATGATTTATACTGAGCAATTCAAATTAATCACACTTTAATTTAACTAGAGTTGTACATGTTTTCTTTCACAGAAAATGTATAAAACACTTTTGTTATATGTGGTTTTATTGACCAAAACGCAACAGAATAATATTCCTTTAGTTTAGTAATTCCTATTTGGCTTATTATTTGAACCAATTTTTTCAACACTTAATTTTCCCCTCTTAACTATTACTATCTGCCATTAAAAGACAAATATTGAGGTTACACCACCATCACCAGAGAAACAAAGATCTGAGTGCCTGAAATGAATAGTGACAAATTGTTTTGTAGAAAGCAGGATTGAAGAGTGGAGGCTGGTGGTGGACAATGATGAAATGAGTGATTGACCTAAGGAGCAGCCAGGACAGCCTAATAGTTCAGCTCTGACTAGTAACATACATGCCACAAAATGCCATTTTCCAATTTAAAAAGAGAATGAAGCTCTTACAAGGAACTTGTATGAGTATAGAACTTTATTTTTCTTTGTTAGTTATCAATTTTTTTTTGTAGTTTTATGAACTTGTTTCTGTTCATTTAGACAAGCTTAAATTTAACTCAAACTGACACTCGAAACAGAGAGTAAACGCTAAAATATATTATGGTGGGGTTTTTTTGTGCAAGATTAATGTTAGTAAGAGATTCAGAGTAGGGTTTAAGTTTTTGCTATAATTTAGTAGAGTTTCTGTTATTTTGGGTTTTTTATAGGGTTATGGTGATGAGCGAAGCATGAGCTTAGTTTGAGAACAGATGTTAAATATTGCCATAATTATTCAGCAATTGCTGTGCTTTGCTATGCAATCAAGACTTTGTGTTGACAATAAGCAACACAATGCATTGATTTAACATTTACTGAATTAGCTATTTAGATTTAACCAAGACTCCACCACTAAAAATATTTGTTGAGATTACTCAACAAATATTTTTAGTGGTGGAGTCTTGGTAATTTTAAGTTAAATGTATAGATTAGGTTTCTAAAATATTTCTAGTTAAGAGCAATTAAATTACACAATCTGCCAGTTCTGTTCACTTCAAATCTTTGATTTCTTAACTTCAAATTACACTGTAAATTTTTTTTTTGTTGGTTTAACTTAAAAAAGTAAGTAACCTGGGTTGCCTTAAAATTTTAAGTTGATTGA